CAGAATTCTGTTAATATATATATATATATATTAGTGCTGTCAAATGATTAATCGTGATTAATCGCATACAAAATAAAAGTTTTTGTTTGCATATATGTGTGTGTTCTGTGTATATTTATTATGTATACATAAATGCACACACATACAGTATATATTGAAAATATTTACATGTATTTACATGTCTATATTTATATTCATATAATTTATATTATAAATAAATATATTTAATTTATAAACATAACCTATTTTTCTGAAATATATACATGCATGGGTGTGTATTTAGATATACATAATAAATATACACAGCACACATACATATTTTATGTAAACAAAAACTTTAATTTGGGATGCGATTAATCGTGATTAATCGTTTGACAGCATATATATATATATATATATATATATATATATTCTGTGGTGGAAATAAGCTTCCATATATTTTGTGCTTTATAGATGCTTATTTCTGCCACAGTATTAATATTACCTTTTTTAAAATTCAGATTTGTTTTCCTCAGAATTCTCAGCTTATATCTCACATTTCTAAGTTATAAATTCGCAATTTAGACTTTGAGTTATGAGTTATTAATCGTGAGGTAGAAAGTCACAATTGCCAGAAAAAAGTCTACATTTTTTATTTTTATTCCTAGGTGGGAATAAGATTCCATATACTTACTTGCGTACTTACTCATTTATTAATTTATTCATTCATTCATTTCAGGAATTTCACTGTGTCTGTTGATGGCATCTCCATTGACAGAGAGAATCCTCAATGGCACTATTACTTCCTTTGTGGAGTGAGAGGAATCCAGGTGAGGTGATTAATATCACATATAATGCATGCTTGCTTTATTGCATTATAATAACAGTCATTTGACCCTTGACCTTGCGTATGCAGGAGCACCTGAGCTTGTCTTCATTGGCAGGGATGTGTTGTGTGGTAGACGGGACTATCCCGGCCAGCTCAGGTCTTTCCAGCTCCAGTGCCCTGGTGTGCTGTGCCGGTCTGGTCACGATGGAGGCCAATCAGAAGTCTCTGTCTAAGGTCGTCTTTACTGTAAATCCTCTAAGATGCATTAGATAGAACTGCTGCTTATCATGGATGTGATTTGATGTAATTTCAGGTGACTCTTGCGGAGACGTGTGCCAAATGTGAGCGTTATATTGGCACTGAGGGGGGAGGGATGGATCAGTCCATTTCTTTCCTGGCGGAGGAGGGAACAGTAAGCCACGTGTTTTATATTTCTTCTATCAGTATATGTGGCATTTTATTGATTTGTGGTATACGGGTCAATAGCATGATGCTCTTTTTTGCATCATGCATACAATGACTGAATACAATTTTTTATGATAATCATGTTAAAAAATATTAAATATATCTAAAATGAAATTCATTTGGATTTTTGGGGGGCATGATCAAGTTGTCAGGGTGTTACTATTTTGATATTATAAGACCAAATGCCTCATTAAAATGATGAAGCTCTTGAAAATAAAATTTTTCTAAATATTCTTTGGGAAAAAAAGCAGTTTTGTTAAAATATTATAAATATTAGAAAAAAAATTTGTCAACCAAATCAAAGTCATGTGGTGCAACCAAAGTGCAGCCAAAAAAAAAGAATGATATCATAGAAAAGATCCATGCAGACCCTCATTACTCTGTCAAGGTCAGTAAGTCTCTTAAAATTACATTTTAATTTAATTTGTTTTTATGGCATGGTAATGTTAATTATGTCATATGGAACAACCTACCAAAAAACTCAAACCAAAAAAACAAAAAAATAATTCATGACATTTGTCTAAAAATTTCTTTTTGCCTTAAAAAACACATTTAATTTTTTAAAATAATAATAAAAAAAAAAATTATATTTAAGGTGTTATTTTTGGTTATACCACATGACGCATGACATTTCAAAATGGTAGAAAAGTTTTTTTAAAACCATGTAAATCCAACACGAATACAAAGAGTACATTTCTAATGCACATGTGTTTTAAACTAGAAAGTTTTTTTTCTTTTCTTTATCTCGGGAACTCTTATTTAATACTGTGCATCTACAAATACATTTTTAAGGGTGGTTTAGCTTGATTTTTCCTTTTTTTTCACTCTCTCTCTCTCTCTCTTATTCGTTTTTTTCATTCCTCAAGGCAAAGCTGATCGAGTTTAATCCGCTGCGAGCCACAGACGTGAGGCTGCCTGATGGGGCTGTCTTTGTAATCGCCAACTGCTGTGTGGAGATGAACAAGGCGGCCTCATCTCACTTCAACATGAGGGTGGTGGAGTGCCGCATTGCCACGAAGGTCTGAACTTCAGGGATGCATCAAGAATGATAGTTTAGTCTTTTTAATCTAAGCATTTTATTGGCAGTTCACCAAAAATTACAGAAGTTTGGGGTTGACTAGATTTTTAAATGTTTTTTGAAAGAAGCCTCTAATGCTCAAAATGTCTGCATTTATTTATTATTATGTATTACTAATTTATAATACTGGGGAATATTATTACAATTTATTTATTGTAATATATTTTAACATTTATTTTATTCCTGTGATGCAAAGCTGAATTTTCAGCATCATTACTCCGTTATTCAGTGTCACATGATCCTTCAGAAATCATTCTAATATGCTGATTTGCTGCTCAAGAAACATTTATTATTATCAATGTTGAAAACAGTTGCTGCTTGATATTTTTGTGGAAACTGATAAATAATAACAATCTTCAGTGCTTGGCCACTAATAATTATCTGGTAACACACCAGGAGCTCGTGCACAAATTTCCCAAAAGTTGTTCTCATATCCATGTAAGTTTCAATTTCAGATATTTTGGAATAGTATATTCATGGTTAAATATCGTAATCAGATGCTGGCTAAGGTGCGCGGCCTGGACTGGAGTCGTCTGCTGAAGCTGGGAGATGTGCAGAAGGAGCTGCAGGTGAGTCTGGAGCAGATGCTGGAGCTGGTGGAGGAGGCGCTGCACCCTGAACCCTACAGCACAGACGAGATCTGCAAGACTCTGGGCATCAGCGCCGAACAGCTGTGTGAAAACATCCTCAGCGCCAACACACAGCATGGTGAGAGAGCGGTCACTGACAAGAGGAAATCAAAATCAACACTACAGTACTTACTTGAAAAATACACATTCCTCGTCTTATTGGGAAAATGATCTTACATTTTCGTGAGGAGAAAAAGTATATTATTTTATATTAGCTATAAGGTTCTATTTGTAAACATTAGTCAACTGTATTAGTTAACGTGAGCAAGTAATGAAAAATACTTCAATAATGCATTAACAGGTTAACAGGCGAAGTGTGACTAATTTATTATATATTATTGACATTGACAAATTGATATTTTATACTTGCAAACTCTTCCATTTTTCTGCCTCAGCGACTGATTTTAAATTGTACCAGCGTGCCAGGCACGTGTACGGCGAGGCTGCACGCGTCCTGCAGTTTAAGGCCGCGTGCGACTCTTCCCCTGCCAACGCCGTCGCTCAGCTGGGCGACCTGATGAACCGAAGCCACGCCAGCTGCAGAGACTTGTACGAGTGCAGCTGCCCTGAGCTGGACCAGCTGGTGGACATATGTCTGTGAGTGAGACTGGCTGCTTTTTTTCTGTTCACGTACACTACTGGTCAAAAGTTTGGAATAATTAAGACTTTTTAATGTTCTGAAAGAAGTCTCTTATGCTCACCAAGGCTGCATTTATTTTATCAAAAATATAGTAAAAACAGTAATGTTGTGAAATATTTTGACAATTTAAAAGAACTGTTTGAATATATTTTAAAATGTAATTTATTCCTGTGATCAAAGCTGAATTTTCAGCATCATTACACCAGTCTTCAGTGTCACATGATCCTTCAGAAATCATTCTGATATGCTGATTTACTGCTCAAGAAAGTGATTATTATCACTGTTGAAAATAGTTATTGCTGCTTAATATTTTCGTGGAAACCGTGATACACTACCATTCAAAACTTAGTAAGAAAAAGATATACTTTTATTCAGCAAGGACACATTAAATTGGTCAAAAGTGAAAGTAAAAACATTTATAATATTGCAACAAAACAAAAAAATCGATAGATAGATATAGTTTTTTTGGTGCTGTTCTTTTGAACTTTCTGTTCTAAAAAAAAAATCTGGAAAAAATGTATCATGGTTTCCACAAATGTTTCTTGAGCAGCAAATCAACATATCAGAATGATTTCTGAAGGATCATGTGACACTGAAGACTGGAGTAATGATGCAGCTTTGATCATAGGAATAAATTACATTTTAAAATATATTCAAATAGAAAACACTTCTTTTAAAGTGTAATAATAATTCTCAATGTTTTTTTTTCTGTATTTTTGATCAAATAAATGCAGCCTTGGTGAGCATAAGAGACTTCTTTCAAAACCATTAAAAAAATCATAATTATTTCTAACTTTTGACCAGTATTTATTACGTGATGCTGAAATATTTTGAACTGAATGAGTCGCGTCTCTGAGCACATGTGGCAAACTAATCGAAATTGATTGAATTGGTGTTTTAGCAGCATCTTCCTCCATCTTCACAGGCAGGCGGGTGCCGTGGGGTCGAGGTTAACCGGAGCTGGATGGGGAGGTTGCACGGTTTCCATGGTACCCAGGGAACGAATAGATTGCTTTCTCCAGACTGTGAGAGAACATTATTACGTGCCTGATACCCGTCGATCCGCTCTGGAAAAGCAGAGTTTATTCGTGACAAGGCCGGGAGGAGGGGCGGCAATTTTCATAGAGGAATAAATAGTAGCGGGGCAATTTTCTCTCATTTTAGCAACACAAACGAGCCTGTGGCCTCAGAAGCAGGAGGTGGTATGTATAATGGCAGATATGATGAAAGGGAAAAAACAGGCCGTATAAAGTCTGAATGGGCATTTTTACTCTGTATGTCTTAAAAGAATGAAGAAATCAGCACTCTGATCATTTTATACCCAATTTAAGGTTGTCAAGGCATTAGAGAAAGTGCCAAGAATTCCTGCTTTGAGGTACTTTCTGAAAGCGTTGAAGGTCAATATTCAACTTAATGTGATTCTACTTTTTATAATTAATAATAAACATGTCGTTAGTGCTTTTTACTATGGTAATCATCACTATTACTATTGCTCATACTTGTCTTTAGGGATTCAATCTACCTTGGAAGTATTACAAGTAAACTGAAGTATTGCTCTGAAGTTGCGGTCACATTTTCCGTTGTTTGGTGAATTTTCGTGGGCTAAATCCAGTCATTTCAATCTATGCAAGCAGGAATTTCATGTGAGGCCACAAGATTTCCCCATGCAGATTTTGCAAAGGGTAAAAAAAGTGCTATATGAAACATGAATGCAAACATTCCTTTTTTAAAATAAATTAAACAATGGCCATTTAATGCATATCATATAAAAATGACAATGACTTGTATAAAAATCCATGCATTTAAATAAAAACAATAAACAATCTGCATGGTCTTTGTTGACAAAATAGCACAGCAGAAAAATCTTATACATTCGTCATATGAATATTTAACATAACATTAAATTAACTGTACATTCATAAACAGGAAATGTTGCATGACCCCCTTCGTCAAATAAATGATTTAAAAAACAATATGATCTACATTACTGTAGTCAATGAGGGCAATGAACAGCCTGAAAAAAGTGATACAATCCAAGAAAAAAAATCAATGGCAACACATTCAACTCGACAAACAGAACTGAAAGTACTTCCTTTAATGAAAGGAAAACAAAAAGGCACAAAAATTCCTTCTGTAAAGAAATGCCCACTTTATAGACCTTTGTATTAGATGCATGTAGAATTCTAGAAGTTTAAACATGTAAATGCTTCAGTCTATCGCTTGATGGAAGGCACGACTTTGCGTAAAAACTCTATTCTCAGTTCGCTGAGCTGCATGCAAAAGCACTAACTACGGTTTGAATTATGGACAAGTGTGGAATGTTTTTACACTTTCTTTAATGTTTTTCTTTTTTAAAAAGAGGTACATTTAAAATAAAATTTGGCATTTTAAAGCCTTTTAAAACCCATTTAATTGGTGAAAAAGCTAGAGCTTGCTTTGTAACGCCAACATAAACTTACAGCCAATGCATGTTCTCTGCAGCATCGATATCAGACATTCCTAATTGTTACTACACATCCAGTAGCTTGATGCATTCGGGTGCAGTATAGATATCTGTGGTGCAACTTCCAGGTCTTTAAACATATCCATATTTAATATGCAATGCATTTATAATCCTAAACCACTGTAGATGGCTGTATCAGTGTTTATAACAAAATAAGAGGTATTATTTCCCACACTTGTACATATTTGCTTCCTTATACTTTATTAGTCTTATTAGAACGATGTCATTTGTTGAACGTAAACTCGGGTTTAATTGAGTGTTTCTGATGCCTGAAACATTTGCATATGGAAGCCTGTTTCCGCAACAGGATAAAAGGTACATGCGACTTTTGATCTCACAATTCTGATATTTTTTCGCCAGGACAAAAAAGAAATAGAATTATCAAATAAAATATCAGATAAAAATAGAAAGCCTCAGAAATCCGTGGAAAAGGTCAGAATTGTGAGAAAAAAATGCAAGATATATACTTCTATCTTATATAAAGATATAAGTTTATATCTCACAATTCTGACTTTTTTCTCAGAATTCTAGGTTTACATTTCGCAATTCTGTTTTTTTTTTGTCACCACGGAATTAAAAGTAAAAAAGGTAACTGGGACTATCTCACAATTCTTACTTTTCTTCAGAGAATTGTGAGTCTGTATCTCACAACTGTGAGTTAACATCTTGCAATTCTGACTTTTTTCTCATAAATGCGAGAAAAGAAGACCGGATTGTGAAATATACACTCAAAATTGAGAGGAATCGTGAGATAAAAAGTCACAATTACCTTTTTTATTTTGTTATCCTGTGTTGAAACAAGCTTCCATGCAAATGCCTAAAATCTCGAAATACTAAATCAGTGCCTTTTCTGAGAAAACATTGAACTAGAATTTGTGCCAGAAGAGGTGAACATTGAAAATGAAATAAATGAGGTTCATTTTCAAATTCAAATGGATGCCCTGTGAGACGGGAGCAGATTTGCATGAGAAAATTATTGTTATCTGTGCTTCATTGTGCTGGCTCTTTGGAGCCTCCTGTGCATGTCTAGCCCTCTCATAGTCTAGTCGTGCTCACAGGCATCTCTGGGAGCCCAGAGTGTGTCTGCTCACAATCTATTATCATTTTCTCACATTAAAGACAGGCGCTAATTCCTCTTCCTTCTGTAAAGGAAGAAAAAAAACGCTCCTTTATCTGGCCTCCAAGTCTTCCACCGTTACCTCTTGATTTTGGTCACTTTCCCTCCTAAATCCACTGCTGTTGGTCTCTGTCTGGTCTCTGGTTGTGTCGGTCACCGAGCGGGTGCCGATGGGGCCTCTTGCGGGCGAAGATAGTGGGTATGTGGAAGTGGAGGATGTGGGTACCTTCATGTTCTTGCCGGAGGTGATGAGTTCTCCGTATCCTTGCTGGTGGGCGAAAGCGTACGCCGAGCGACGAGAACTGGTCCTGCGGACTCTCCTGAGGTTCTGCTCTTGAGGACCCTGCCTCCTAGTGGCCTGCTGAAGTAAACGCACCTAGGGGAGAGGAAACGGTTTTGACATCTCATTATGATGTATTCATGGAGTAAAAGGGCCTATTATTCATTTAATAATTCCCACTTTATAAGGCATGTGTTTATGTGGTAACCTTGGCAGTCTGTGTTGGATAGAGGTCAGCCTTGATGAATCGGACAGCCACCATGGGCATTATACACACGACTGTGGTGAGGAGGATGACCAGCCACACAATCTTCTGATTCAGAGAGTTACGTGCAGTACCTACAGTCAAACACAACATGTTTAACTTCAGTAATATCAGTGGCCTAGAAAAAACTGCTCATTAATAGAGAGCTACAGAGAGCCTATATACCAATTTATATTCTTACCTATGAAAGGAAACTGGTTTGGGAATATGGTAAAAATGCCATCACTGTGCATTGCAAAAAGGATTGCAAAGTAAACAGCTAGACTTCCCCAGATAAAGAAATGGTTCACAGCGGTCCAGTAGTTGGTGTCAAGCCCAATCTGCAACAAAATTCAATATTCTTAACATTAATTTATTTTTATCTAATGATAGATACACACCATTAATATTATTTACATTATAATATTTTTATTTGAATTAAGTACATTTTCCATTTTTTGCTGCATTTCAGTAATGAGAATGAGATTTTTACATTTTTTTACATTATTTTTTTCCAAATTATTTAAAAAAATGTTTATTATACAATAATTATAGCACCTTATACAAAATATTTATACATTTTTATTTCTTAAATTATATTTCTTTAATGATATATAGATTGCAATGTCAAGTTAAACAGTAATAACCACTTTATGTAACCTTTTTGTATTGTACATTGTCATTTATTTCCAAAGTATTTGAATGGATTGAGTAAACAAGCACAGTTGTTAAATTGCCTCACCTGAACACTGGACACAATGACCAAAGAGGTTGCTATGGTTACCGCGAAAGCCTGTTGATCAGAGATGTGGGCACCGTCATCCCGCACAGCGGTCATAAAGGCTCCGTATGAGATGAAGAAGAGGATAAATGAAGTACAGACCCCCTGCAGCGTACAGGTGAAGAACTTTCTCTTGTTAAAGAGCTGGTTTAGCTGCCCAGGTCTGTACAGGTTTGGATAGCGTAAACTGTACTGCTCATTCACATCCTGCAAAATCAATAATCTTTATGTTAAAAGGCAAAGATTGTAATTATGTTTGGTGAAGCTACACAGTGCAGCTTTCAAGACCAAAAATTTACACCTAGACTGGGCTTACCTGATCAAACAGACCCATGGCCAAAACAGGAAGTGAGGTGTAGACAATGTTGAAGAGTGTGATGAACCACTGGTCATATACCGTCTGCAATGACAAAAACATATTATTCGCAATCTTAAACTGAAATCACATGCATATTCCATCCACAGCCTGAAATAAGAAGAAGTTTCACCTGGGCAGAGAATCCACAGAGGAATCCATACCAGAAATGAACCAGCGTGAAGGCGAAGTTCTTGTAAAAGAAGTAGCAGAGAAAGTTGCACATGCGGTGGTAAGACCAGCGGCCGTGGACAAGCAGGAGACGCTGCAGATAGCGAAACTGGGCGAAGGAATAGTCAGAGGCCAACACCGCCTGCATCCCCTCTTGTCCGCTGATGCCCACGCCAATGTGGGCCGCTGGGGAGAGCAGAGACAGTATACACACAATACACACATCCTGACAGATCAAGAAGGCCAGCATATTTCCATAGCAACCACTTGATTAGATCAGCAGTGCATCTACATTGAACACTTCAGCCGTATGGCGTACACATCACAAGCACCAGACCACAATGAGCATTAAGAACCAGTCAGATAGATAGATAGAGTTATTAGTTAGACACAAATAGACAGTTAGTTAGACAAAAATAGACAGACAGACAGATAGATAGAGTTATTAATTAGACTGACAGATCAAGAAGGCCAGCATATTTCCATAGCAACCACTTGATTAGATCAGCAGTGCATCTACATTGAACACTTCAGCTGTATGGCGTACACATCACAAGCACCAGACCACAATGAGCATTAAGAACCAGTCAGATAGATAGATAGATAGAGTTATTAGTTAGACACAAATAGACAGACAAAAATAGATAGACAGACAGATAGATAGATAGAGTTATTAGACAGACAGATATATAGATAGATAGATAGAGTTATTAATTAGACAAAAATAGACAGATAGATAGACAGATGGATAGAGTTATTAGACACAGACAGACAGATAGATAGATGATAGATAGAGTTATTAGATAGACAGACAGATAGATTTATTAGTTAGACACAAATAGACAAAAACAGACAGACAGATAGATAGAGTTATTAGATAGACAGATATATAGATAGATAGATAGAGTTATTAATTAGACAAAAATAGACATAAACAGTTAGACAAAAATAGACATAGACAGACGGACGGACGGATAGATAGATAGATAGCAAGTCATTAGTCATGTCTTACTCTTGATCATACTGACGTCATTGGCTCCGTCTCCGATGGCGAGAGTGACGGCTCTCTTGTGTCTCTTTATGAGCTCAACCACCAGAGCTTTCTGCAGTGGAGTGACCCGACAGCAGATGACTGTCTTACACAGACACGCCACGTCCACCAGGATCTGCTCCAGGTCTGCCTCCAGGGCATGAGCCTTCAAATAACAACACACAAACCTTACATTCAATGCCATCTATACACTCTCAGCATGTGTTGGCAGAATTCTTTCAATTAACTTCATTTGTCAGAGC